TATATATATAAACCTAGCAATTCATGGAAACAATATTTTATAAGTGCCCCATGCTGCATTGGAAATGTCACAGCTGCTGCTGCCACATCTATTTGTGCTTACTAATAATCAAGACTTTTTTATACTTAAACATGTGATGTAAAAAAACTGAATTATTTTTTAATAATTGCATGCATTTAGTCACTCATTTGTAATATTTTATTACATTTTCTATAAATCCATTTCTTATATTTTTTATTGTATTAAAATGTATTTAAAGCTAACTTTGTGAGTTCATTGAGAAACATGTAGGATGCATAATTTTAAAGTTTCTGTGACCATTTTCTTTCAAGCATTTGTGAAGCTTTTTTTCTCAGTAAAAAGGGGAAAAGTGAAGTCATACTGTAAATGGTGCAAAAGTTATATTCAGTTTCTGTAGTCTTTCTCGGGTAGTTTCACTTTTAGGACAATAGGAAGTAGAAAAACATTTAACTGTCTCTTAAATTGCCTCCTTTCTGCTGTAGTTGCTCCATGGCGACAGGTTTTTCAGATGGTCTCCCTCAGTTCTCAATACAAAAAAATTACATGATTTATGAAAGATGTCATCAGTATTAGCACAAAGGCACAGAGGAGCAGAACATCTCACCACACTCCGAGGTGACTTCAATTTATCATCTAATGACCGGGGTATTGTTGTAATGGGCCGTGGATGTTGCAGTGCTGGTGTTTGTTCCCATTCATTTGAGCTTCTGTGGAATCATTTGATTCGCTGATTGAGTGTTTGACGGTCCGATTTATTGAGCGAACAGAGCCGTACAGGGCTGGCAGCTTCTCATACCTTTCAGGAGAGACTGCTCTTGTGAAGCTAACTCCACATAAAGTCTGCTTTCAACGCAAAGTCAATTATCCTAAGAGGAGTGTTTGCTTCTCCCATGGAGATCAACTGTCTTGGATGAGGTTTGTCAGCAGAACCCCTCCTTTCAGCCTCTCGGAGTTCTCTTCCCCTCTCATTTCTCTGCAGCGGCACCACCGGGCGAGGAGGAGCCATGAAGCTGTCTCCCTCAGAGCTCATTTTTCACAACCTCTGTGTTTAATGAGCATCTGCAGCGGAGCAGTCGATGGGTTTCTGATGAGCAAGAACTCATGTGTTTTGATCATATCTGGTGGACTTCAAAGTTGGAAAGTTCTTGATAGATTTTCTATAGCATGGAGTGGCAGTAGACATCCTCGTCGAGCAGGACTGATGAAGGACACTCTTCTGAAATGTCAAATCAAAGCCGTGCTCACAAAGACGAGCAGCAGCCAGAAAGGCCAAGAGCTCATGTTGAAACGTGGGCTTCAGCTCGCACGCCTGATAAACGGCCTTATTGTTTTGAGCCAACTTTTGGTTTGATCAAAGCTTTTATAAGCCTAACATAAGTTTGCACATTAATGTTTTTTGCTGCTTTATGTAATTCATGCTGCATATGCTTGATTAG